CACATACTCATACAATCGAGCAAAAATAACAGGACCGGTATGAAAGAAAATTAACCAAACCACTCTATATCGATCTATCTAGGTTTTTATTTTTATTTTTTTGGCTCGATTGAGTCTATTTAAGAAGTAAGATAGAGCTGGATAGTGTTCTTGCTTTATTGTTAACGTGAGACTTTTACAAGAATGGCACCCATCCCTGATGATGTCCATCATATGATGGACGAGAGCTCAGCACGTTTTCACCCGAAATGAAGGAGGAAGTCTCGTGGACTGCGTCAACATGAATATGGTATAAAAGCCAAACGGCTGCAGTATATTGAGTTTCATCCGTCCTCATCTGGTGAGATCAACCAACGAATCTCTTCTTCATGCACTTTCATTCGAAACGAAGGTCCCCCTAACAATGTTATCTCAGGAGATTCATCGAAACCAAGTTTCTCTTCGTATCTACAAGAAATTATTTACTTGATATATGAAGAGAAGCTGGGCTTTGAAGAGTTTTTAGGTTGGATTTTATGACATACAAGGAAAATCAGGAAAAGCAGTATAATAAAACTTATTGGGAATTGAGGCAAAGTGAAATTCAACGGTATCGTGAGACCATTGAGGTTAGAGCTGAAAGGGCCAACTATCAGCCCAAAGATAACTACAAGGTTGAAGTAGCCTATGTTATGGTTTAATTTTTCTGTTATGTACTGAGAAGGTTGTCTTGTTTCGAAGATATCCATCAAAGGAACGAGTGGAGCTCAACAAGGATTCACCATTGGCAACCTAGAGTGACTAAAGTTCCAATTTAGGTATAAATCAGGAAAGTGAGTTCAACCTACCTTAAACATCACCATGATGCGGTCCGCACGGTTTTCAAGGCTATGAAAGACAAGCCTAAGGGGACAAGTTTTCGAAGAGAAAAATGAACAATCCTGTAAAAACATTAAAAAAATGGACAAAATGATTACTTTTCTATCAAAATGAGTTCGTAGTAAAATAACAATGTATATGAATATATGTGAAGCAAAATACAATGTTCACATCATTTGGTATTCAAATTCTTGAGTGACTAAATAGCTAACCCTTTTGGATGATTCTTTCAAGGTCGAGGCACCAGCAAATGTTTCAACTCGTAATAAATGCACTGGCCATTTTGTTATCGAGTGCAAAAGCCTGTCTATGCCAATGAAACAGGTTTTGACCTTCTTATTTTCAGAAAAAAAATCACAAACTTTGATTTTTATATAATTGAAAGTGAAGGTAAAGATAGTGCCTTGTTCTAAAGATGCACCTCACACGGCAGAAAACTCGTTTTTGCCACTAATCCGAATGAGAAGAAATGCCTTTGAAAACCTTTAGTCAATAATTGGTCAAGACTCGACTCTTAAATTCAAGTAGAAAATTGGTTGGTAGATATTTCTGAACTGGCCTAACCAAAACGCAGAACGAGGACTACTTTGCAGTGAAAACCGTTTTCTTGCGCAAAAGGGTCCTCGACTCACCATTTTGCGAGCCCGTGTTAAGCTTTCGTTCGTAATGCTGCCAAAATCGTCCGAATGAGAAACAATCATTTATTTAAAAAATATTGTTGGGGAGACCTTCATTTCGTATGGAAGTAAGGTCTCCCCAAACAATGTTATCACAGGAGATTCATCGGAACCCAGTTACTATTAATATCTACAAAAAAATAGACCGCTATACAAATTTTTTCTCCGGTTAGTGCATTGGCGTGAGTCTACGTGGTCGACGACTTCTCGCTCTGACGACATCTGCCACAGGACAGATGAAATTTAGCATAGAATCATCATAGTTGGAGGATGAAGAGCCAAGGAATCATTAGCACGATGCGACAATTTCCACTTCAAGGAAGCCTTCCTTCGATCTCAGGAAAAGCCAATACAGAAATCTCTTCCAATCAAGTTTTACTTCAAAATGAACAGTCGAGTCACATTAATTTACTAGTAGTAGTAGCTTTTATTCACCAAAATCAGGATACCTGACCCAAAGGTAGCTGAACATTTTTGAATGGACTGGGAGCTTGTGAAGCCGGTTAGAGCTGATACAGCAGTGGAAGCGTCGGATGCATACAGGGAGAAAGGGGCTAAGTCAAGAAGTGAGGAAAAATCGGTGGAGTTGGAGCAACGCAGACGACTGTGAGTTAAAAATATTTTTCTATTGAATTCAAACCAACAGACTTAAGCGCCTGGGTCATGTCCATATCGATCGAGACAGGAGATAGAGAGGATAAGTGTACTTAAGACAAAGTGGAGGCCGAGGCAGACAGCTTATGGCCGCATTCGAATGTGGAAGTGACAGAGTCGGATAGGATTGGGCAAGCTCTTCGATCGATATACACTGATTTTGAATAACTTGAGTCTGATTGGAGAAACTATGTAAGGTCTGGCTCAGTCCAAGCGGCTTTGGACGCAAGGCAATGTTCAAAAAAGAGAATAGATCGCTGAAGATATCGTTAGCAGGGACAAACAAAGCTAGGCAAGGATCTAACAGTGACGAAAGGTGGTGCTGCAACAACGAATTACTCTTATGAATGCCCACTTAAAATTAGATTTGGGTAAGATTCAGGCCTTTTAAGATTGACCTCACGCTGTTATTTTGCTCGATGCGCTACAATCCAGATGAATGACAAAGATGAGAAGTATCAGTATTACTATACAAAGGGGTGTAGTCAAATCTTAAGCACTTTTAGCCGATAATAAGCATTGATGCTACATATTGTTACGGCACTTTGAGAGAGTGACGCTGTAGACAGAAGTCCACTCGGCATAGATAAGGTTACAGATTTGCCAGAAAAGATAAGGAGACCAACCCAACTTAAAGAGTGGCAGAAGTGGCTTGATCTTGTTTTCGCAACTTAATCGTGTTTTCAGGGCGCCTTATTCGAAGTCCTCTGTCATAGTCAGTATGGTAATTCCCAGCGTCGGATTGCAGACTTGGCATATGTCCAGTGGTTTTGCCGGCATCGTAGTCGGCGTCAAAGAGACAAGTTGCAGCTTATTGCTAAGAATGACAAGAATAACTGACGACGTAGATAACGATACCGGCGAAAGGTCTGAGAATGTACCAAGTCCATATTCAGACTGAAAAGATCATAATTACTATGTTAGAAGACGTCGAAAAAGGTGTGGTAATCTGAGCTTCTTGACAGTACGAATAAAGGGCCAAAATGAAGTTAGACCACTTCTATGCAGCTTAAGAAGCGCGACCAAAATAGAGGCTACATCATCTTGGCAGTTGATAGAAATTGATAATTCGCCCTCTGAATGATATGGATGAAGTTGGTATTGAATGCTTTTAATGGAATGTGAATGAGACGGTGCGTACAACTCTAAATTAAAAACTATGAAAGATGAAGCAACTTTTGGTGAATAAAAATGGAATCTTGCGAGTAAAAACTAAAAATCAAAGAAACTAATGCATAGATAAGTTGGAAAGGCTGAGCGAAATCTAAGAAGGAAAGCTTCCTCTTTAATTTGCTTTGCTTACTTGTAAGGAAATTCTATGAGTCAGCTCCCCAGGACTATGCGGCATGCGCAAACCGGTTTCGAAGATAGCCTGAGTCACCGTGTTGACAACTCGTTTAGTTTGTTTATCGCTTGGTGACTGGGACTTTCGTACCGTTACACCAACAGGCTTCTGTAATTGAAGAGAATTTGGTGGTTCGAGTTGGGCTCGATGAAAAGGTTGAAGTTCGGAACATTTCGCTAAATGATCTGGCTCTTCCTCCATTACGACATGATGAAGATTCTGTAGACTCTTCAACTGACTAGGTGGCCGGTCAGGCAGGGGTCGGTCAAAAAGCCGCTGTTGTATAGACTGGTGTGTGGAATGGAAAGACAACGAATTTCGTGGGCAGTTATGGTCACTATGGTGGATGGAGAGATTGTCAGTCGAGGCGGCCACGCCCCATAAGCCAAGAGAGGTATGACGCTAGTAAAAAAAGTTGTTAGAAATATGAAAAAAATTTTATTCATCGGCATAATTAAATTTTTCATCTAAAAATTAAGAAAATACTAGAATGGATTGCTAATCTAAAAAAAATGTCTGAAATAATAATCCAAATAGGTATGGCAAATTTAATGGGCTAAAGGCGGGAGATATGGAAACTAAGATGGCATGTAGATAC